GAAAAACGGTACTCTTTGTGTGAGATAAGTTAACTATATTAAATTATATTACGGTAATATAAAAAGCATACAGAAGCATTTTTGCTGTGTACAATTTAGAATGCCTGGAATTTTGAGTTTTAATAGACTAATAAATCAATGTGCGTGCACTCTGTGTGTGATTTGGTGAAGTAAAGTACAGATACTGCCAAAAAATACTTAAGTACTGTAACGGAGTATTATTACTTCGTTACATTACACCACTGACACTGTGTGATCAGTTGTACGCTGCCACGGCTCATCCACGAACACAACAGTGGAAACCTTGATACATTTTTCAGGATCCATTTTTTATGTCTTTACTGTCACTTTTGATTCAATTACGCATACTTGATGAGTAAAACTATTAAAAAAACACTTCTGTCGGTGCTGATAGTCTCATGGTTAGTGCGCCGACATACAGCGCAACTGTGCTCACAGTGACCTGAGTTCGATTCCCGTCTCGAGGTCCAATGCTGATCCTGCTCCCCTCTCTCTATACCCAATACTTTCCTGTCATCTCTCCACTGTCCTCTCTGAATAATAAAACGGAATAAAAAAGCCTCCCCCCCTCAAAAAACTTCTGAACAGCAATATTTATTTAAATATATATATGTATAGTACACAAACACTAAATGTCGTCATCATTTACTCATCCTCTATTGTCACTTACCCAAACATGTTCCAAACCTGTATTATTTTCTTTTTCCTTTTGATGAAAAATGAAAGGAGATACTTTTATTTTTTCTCCTTTTTTGGAGCTTGTCAGAATAAATCACCATCCACTACCTCTGTATGGATAACAGAAGCCTGGACACACTGTCCAACATCTCCTTTTGTGTGTCATGGAAGACAGAAAGTCATACGGGTTTGGAACAACACGAGGGTCAGTAAATAATGACAGAATTTTCATTTATGGGTAAACTATTCCTTTCAGTCTCATCCAACAACATCTTGCCTGACAGAAAATGTGATGTTGAAAATCTTCAAAATGTTCCATTTGCGATGTGGCTTTGTAAACACATAAGTGTGTCGTAGTTCTAATTGGAGTGCACAGGTGGAAGAGAGCGCAATCACTACGTTAGATTAATGAGGGTCGCTCTCTGGTCCTGAGAAGTGGACAGATTACCTGCCTGCAGTAGGTACCACGACCCACATTCATGCTCCTGTAGAGACCGTCTCAGCCAGTCTGTCTTAGTCATTGGATTAGCAGGAGTCACTGCTCCAGGTATAGACTTATGATAACTTGTCAGAGAAAAATAGAAAATCCTGAGATGACAGCTAACGTCATCTAACGTGGCATGAAGGGTAGAGAACTTTATGTGCCAAGTGAAACAAGATGCCAAAGGAATAATGATGACGACTCGAACAGAACTGTAGTGCCAAAACCCCCTAAGAAACTGAAAAATCACTGCAATGACTGCAAAGTAGCTTATTTGAATAAAAAGGCCACCAACAGCGATTTACACTGTTTAATAAGTAATTTAATAACAATTTGTTAAAACAAATGGTTTTGATGGTTTAAAATCATCATTATTATTATTACTATTATTATAAAAAATATTAATTACTTGACAAATAGATCCAGAGCTATACTGTGATTTATGATAATAAAATTATTATTATTATTATTAAATCAAATTATGACACAAATTTTGACACTTAAGTGTAACTGATAATAGCTGCAGTTATGATGATGATGATGATGATGATGATGATGATGATAATTTATTTAGCACAGTGGCTAGATTAACAAATAACCAGACGCAACCTGATCTAAATATTCCCTCACAATAGTAATGACTTTATGAATTTCTTCACTGATAAAATAGATAACATCAGAAATACAATAACAAATACAGATTCTACAGCGTCTAATACTTCAGCCTCATTCATCGCACCCAAAGATAAACTGCAGAGCTTTACAACTATAGGACAGGAAGAGCTAAATAAACTTATCACTGCATCTAAACCAACAACATGCCTGTTAGATCCCTATAAGTTTGATTGCAACATATAATAATTGCTGTTAATAGTGTCCATCGTCTGTTTGATTACATCTTTAATTTATTTTTCTGTACATTTCTGCCATATGTACATTAACTGACAGTCACCACTGATAAGCTACTACTAAATATATTGTAGAAACTTAATTTTCTGTAAAGTTGCTTTGCAACGATTTGTATTGTGAAAATCGCTATACAAATAAACTTGAATTGAATTGAATAATAATAATTGTCATCATCATCATCATCATCATCATCATCAATTATACTTGAGCAACAGCACTATTTGTCACATAATTAATACTGAAGAGGCAGAACAGTCTCCAGTTACTACAACTAGAAATGTTTTAATTTCTATTTTAATATGATGCTAATGAGAATGAGATTGGAATGTGTGGTGAGAAAGCAAGGGATCACGTAGGATGGAGAGATAAAGGGGAAGCTGAAAGACTTCCCTGCAGGTCCGCTTAAGCATTCTGGGATAAATTGAATGGACCTCTGAATGACCCTGCTCATTAGTGGAGCAGAGGGAGGTTAAGGAGGAGCACACAACTGTGTGTGTGCTTGTGTTTGTGAGAGTGTGTGCATGTGTGTGTGCAAGAAAGAGGGACTTGAGCGATAGAGACAGGGATTAATGAAGAGGTTATAAAGGGGAACACGTCTGGTGGGAAGGGTCAGGCTCTGAGACTCAGATGAGTTATGGGAAAGCTGTTCCCATGACCCATAGAGTTCATTTGTGTGGGTATGTGAGTGCATGCATGTATTCAAAATGAAGTCAACTGCATTCTAATGTAGACACTAAGAAGACCCCAATGATTAGTTGAATTAGTTCTACGTGGGGCTGGAAATAATAAGTATAACAAGACTCCAGAGCATGTACATATCTCTGTTGTGAAACAGAGGACAAGCTAGAAAATCCCAGAAATGATTCAGAGGCTGAATCCCAATTCACACACCTTCACTGAGCATGAAATGGGAATCAAGCACATACTTTATTTCAGCATGAAATAAAATCAGGTGACAATTTTTTTTTTTTTTTGAGGATTGTTTTAGTTTTTTTTTTGTAGCTTTATCTTCCAAACCTGTCTAAGGAACTGTTTTATCTAAATAATAAGTCAATGGGGTTCAAAACAACATTAGACCAGTGCTTCTCAAATATTTGAATCAAAGGCCCCCTGTTGTAGAACACAATATTCAAAGATACGCCAAGATATTTCCAGTATTTCTGCTGTAATATGGCAAAGCTGCTTGTTTTCAAACATGTTTACTTATTTACCTAATTACGTTATGTGGTTAATTAATTTAATATATTACATTAATTCAACACAATTCTTTTTGTGATTAAAAAAGTGTTATTCACTAAAAACATAGAAAGAAATACCACTTGACTTTATATCTTGATTTTTTTGTTTATTTTTAATATTTGAATTTAGATATTTTAAAGTTAAATTATTTTAATATATTAATAACAACTGTTATTATTACCGCTTCTGTAAAACCACCTATTTTTTCATAGCGCATGGGTTTGTGTAATATTAGCCGGAAAAGAATACAAAAAAAACTTTTACTACAGTTTCTCTATAAATAATGAATTGGGACGCACTGCTCCTTACCCACAAAACTACATAGGACAGATACTCTCAAATTCAGCCATGATTTTTGCAGTATTCTGAGCATCCTAGCCATTGAAGCTGTGACTGTTGTCCTGATGGGGTGTTCTGGGAGGGCAGATAGCTGCTCTTCAACTTGAAAAGGTCACAGACAGCTCAAAGTACAGGCTGATCATTAAGTTGATTCTAAAAGCGCTGTTTGTTACAGTGCGAGAATGTCTCATCACAATGTTGCTCACAGGAAACTAGGGAACATCCACACCAAGTATGCTCAGACAAATCATAGCTGAGAACTAATTATATTCTAACGCAGGAGAGACCGAAAGGGTGGTTGAGAAAAACACTCTGCAAGCACACATGCTCGTACACTCAAACCCATTACACTCCAAACACATTACACACTTATCAACAGTTCTTTGAAAGAAACTCAGATGGCAGCAGCTTCGTGGAAGCACACTTGCTTTTACATGTACGAGACGTGGCTGACCTCTCTGTCGATGCCTGTAGCGATGGTGCTGATCTCTCCTGTGGCTCCGTTAATAGTAAACATGTTGGGAATGGGGATGTGTGGCGTCTGGCTCAGGATGCGATAGTGCACCAGCCCGTTTGCCGTGGTGCTGTCGTCGGCGTCAAAGGCCGTTACCTGCATTACAGAAGTGCCTGCAGAGGAAGAGAGGTAAACAAGCGTGAATCAAAACACTAATGCATGCATAATCGCTCCATTTCTGTCACAAAGCAGCTGGGCTTGTTTGTCCGAGTCGCTAAGAACAAACACGCACAAACAGTGGCTATTTGATCAGTGATTCAAACTTTTTGTGCTGCTCCCTGTGTCAGAGCAATGTCCAAACGTCACATCTGATCCCGGGGTCTTTCGCACCTAAGCTGTCTCATCATCTTCATTTCTGATTCTGCTCTCCATACTAAATCTGCTCGATAATGAGGGTCCGTCTGCCTCTGTTATTTTCATTATTCCCCAGTCCTGCTATAGCTGTGCCAGCAGTGTTAAAGTCAAAACGAAATTACTTATAAAATGTTTGTTAAAGATTTTGTTATTATTTTATTAGTTTTTTCATAAGTATTTTTGTTTTTATTTGAAGGACTTTTTGAGATAAAAATGCATGCAATTAACTCGTGATTAATCGCAACTTTTAATTGCACATTTTTATCTGTTCTAAATGTACCTTAAATTAATACTTTTCAAAGTTTTTAGTATTAGTAAAACCATAGTAAACTTAAGAGCATGAAGACTAGACATGTTTCAAAGGTCATAGATTTTTTTCACAACTTGTTCATGTCTATTAGAGACATGAAAAAAAAGAACAATGAAATACCAGGTTCCCATTACTTCTCTTTCTTTGCACTAAGCAATTAATTTACTTACACAAGCCTGTTTACATTATTTGCAGGACAGGGCAGCTAATTTCTTCTGAACATGCAAAATGTACATTTATTATTTATTGTTACATTTGTTTGCCTCTCTGTACCTACATACTGTATTTTGATGCAGCTAAATTCTCAATAAAATTGCTTTCATTGATATATTTTACTGTTTCTGTTGTCAGACAACCAAATTAATATGAAGTAGTGACTGAAACGCGACACATTAAGACTACATATAACTTTCCCTTCCAAGATGTTAATCTGCACAAAAATTCTGATTTATAATCGAGCCGTCATCTGATGAAATCAAATACACATAAGATAAAGACAATAGCTGTGCTGTGATTTCGGCTATATTTGCATGTAAAAGGGCCTCCAAATAGAGAAACGGAGGATAAACCTCCTTGCGACGTGGGCAAAATGTCACCCTGTCATTCTGTGTTAATGTCATTCTGTCGCTCCCGTGTTCCAGTCACTTCTGTCATTTAATATTAATGGCCACGGCGACCCAGAAAGTCGGTCCGAGGGGGGTGACTGCACGTCCAGCCACACGCGAGACCTCATGTGTTTGTGGGTTTCTACGGCCTCGCTGTAATTGTGAGGAGATAGTGCCATCATTTCGTGACAACACACCTACGAGGGGATAATTGTGGCTGAGAGTTCTATTTCAAAGTTCATTAAGTTTCAGAGCAGAATCTGTCACTACACCCCATGAGAAAGAGGAAAAGGAAGAAATGAGCGAAGGGAGAAGAAAAACAATTAAGCCCTCTTCTGATAGGGCTACATCAATTTTTGAACAACCAGAGAGTGAGCAAGCACATGTGGAGGGATGAAGAAGACAAAAGAGTTGCATGTCAACTTTGTTGCCTTCAATTTTCAATGAGTGCCATTCTGTAACGGGATTAAATGCTCTTTATGTGTAAAAGTGAGAGAGATGGCCATGCAGGAAACAGTTAACCCCTAGGCCTTTTCAATTGCTTTTTAATTTGAAAACTAATTCAATGCTGTAATTGCTTTTCGACTTAAACCACTGAAGCTCAAAATTCCTCCTTTCATTAGATGTGTGCTGGTCGGGAGACTCTCTCTTTCACAGGTATATAAGAAATTGGGGAGTCATTAGTTTTAACAAGTTTAACATACAGTAACCAGCCTGAGAATGGAAACTGACCCTTGCAGCGCCGGCTCGTTTGAAAGCGACGTCTCCTTTCGAATCACCCGCCACTTGAAGACAGACTGGAACACGCAAAATCCATCTTGCCGCCAATTTTCAATTGCTTGCGGTATGGCTAGATCACAAAGTGCTTACATTGAAAATATGACATAAAAGCTCTCTATACTTGGCTGTCTGTCCGAGACAAGCTGCTAGCCAGACTAAACCAGTCCTCCAAGCTGTTATCACTCCGTTTTCCACTGCAGATTACACTCAGCACTGTCTCACACCAACCTCACGATGAGGCTTTCAAAGCAAATCTGTTTTGTCAGGGCCGTAGCCATATGGGGTCCTTTGAGGACTATGAAGAGGCAAATTACTTTTCCTGCAAAAAAGAGCCAGAGGCAGACGCCTACTTTAAGTCCATTAAACTGATTGAAACATTCCTCTCTCCTCTCAGCGCTCTCTTTTCCCTCTCTTCTCCTCTCCCGTGCATGGACGTCAGGGCCTAATTAACCCCCATGGCCAGCTGTCTGAGGCTGAGCGTTGAGTAGCATCCTATCGTCCACTGTTAGCAAATTTCCTTATCGGCCGTGTGAGCTGGAAGTGTGAAAACAGAATTTTCAAGCCGTGCCGCTCTTTTGCTGTCGCTTGTTTTTCTCTGCAACAGACAGCTAAAATATCCCCTTGTCATTGGTTATTTAGGCAAAAGAACAGAAAGCCAAGTAAACAAGGATACATCTGACAAAAAAACGAGGCAGGATCAGTGTTGAAATTTGAGGCCAGTAAAATGCAAAACAACAGAGCATAGTTTGAAGATGGCAGGAAAAAAGAGAGAAGAGAAACGATTATTTTAAAAGATAATTAGCTGCAGCAGTTCTGCGAACTTGGAAATAGGAGTTTTCTAAACACTGTCATTGGGTGGTGCAGCTGACTTTTTGGCATGCAAATTTTCTACAGGGAAAAAAGTGAAAATTGGGATTAATTATTGTGAAAAGTACAAGAACACTTTGAGACACTTCTCTGAGAATGTGAGAACTGTAAAGCTGCCTTAACTGCTTCATAGACTGTTGCTGGATAATTCCCAAAAAAACTATTTCTAAAGACTTTTAGTTAGTTAGTTAGTTAGTCTGAATTGTTAATATTCTGTTTCTCCTCAAAGAATACTAAACTTTTATACAAAATCTATCCACCTTTTTCTTCAACATGGAAGTAAGCCTATGGGCGAGACTTCCGGTTCATTAGCCGCTATAGGTAAATAACGAGAAGAATAACAACGTGCAGTAAACGGTCAAACTTTTTGCACTACAAACCAATGTGTTCATAATTAAGATAATACATTAAAATAATATGGTAAGACACACCAATGATCAATATCAAGCAGCAAAATGAACTGTTTTGTACAGCTAAAAATAGCTGGATGTGGATGAGACCGGAAGCTAGACGCATAGAATTTACAAATGGCTGTGCCCATTTTTACCGGAAGAAAAAGGTGGATACCGCAATATCAATTTATCTGATCTAAACACATTTTACTATCATAATTCGATGAATTTCTGAGCAAATAATTACAAGAAGACAAAAGTAGGGCACTACACACACACATATATATATATACAGTATATATATATGTGTGTGTGTGTGTGTGTGTGTGTGTGTGTGTGTGTATGCAAATCTTCATGGTCCTGATTTTATTTAGAAAGACTGATTTAAAAGAATATTGAATAACCAATGTTTGTCTTGTAATAAAAGACAATCTGTGCATGTCATATAATATTGGAATTAATCTTTCAAAATAAGACCAGAAATATGCAATAAGAAAGTAAATAGGATAAGCTTTAAATTTTAAGTTAACTTAAATAAAGTAGTTTTAAGTAAAAAATAAGCTCCAGAACATTTTTTTAGGGAAAATAAATGCTGACTTGACTTGACAGGAAGAACAAAATATTATTACTTTACTTCTTGTATTGTTTTCAGTCATGCCAATAAATCGACAATTATGAGGGGAAAAAAATGTCTGGATTCACACTAAAGAGTTTAATTTGATCCAGGTCTGAATCACAGCCGAATTGAATTAAACTTAAATTGGATCAGTCTTCTAAATGTGCAGTAATTGGGTGATTACTTGTGTTTAGGAAGCAACGAACACAATTTAATTACTCTATGTGTCTACACCTCCAAACAGGTATTTTGTTGGCAATGAAATCAGTAATGTATCATTTAAAGATGGATCCCTCTGTTGAATTGATCTGATAAGTTCACATACATCTGCAGCTGGCGATAAGGACACTTCCCTGCATGCTCCTCTTTGAACGTGGCCTGTAGTGCAGGAGCTGATGGAAAATCTGCTGTAATACTTCAGAGACACTCTGATATGAGCATCTGTTTGGTCTAAGCTTCCCTTGGTGAGTTAAACTGATAAACATGTTCTTTCAACATTCACGTTTAAAATATACAAAACATCTGCTGTGATTAAATCCTTGTGATCGCGGAAGATCAACGGTCAATATTGGCATTGCCATTTTCAAGGCAGTGAGATTAACTGCGGTCTCATGAGAGCCCAGAGCCGGGTTTAGCTCGACTTCACGAGAACTTCATGTTTTTAATTCACGTGAAACATGGAGGATGTCAGCATGGACAGCAGAGGGATAATGGAACAGCCTGTATCGTGTCCGTTTTCCATGGATAATTTACAGTGCTTGTTTGGCGTGGAGCAGACCCACGCTCTACTGAAGGGAAACAGAAAATATTGCGCCGTTCTTTTTTTTCTCTTTGTTTATGAATTCCCTTGAGAATAAAGTTTTCTGTGAGGAGAGCTCAACAAAATAAAGACTAAAGTTTTGTCCTCAGAGGCAAGCTTTCTGGACCGTAACATTACAGAAGTTGGACACAATCTGACTCACAGTCTATGCTTTGGCTGCTCAGTGAGTCGACTCTGACGGCTTACACCCCGAAGAGGTGGAGAATAAAGAAAGAAACTTAACCTGTGTTTGTTAGACACAACGGGAATCCAGTTCAAAGAGCACAGAGAAGCATTCACAGAAAGGGCTGATTCACATGGGCTATTCAATAAATCATCAAGGGAAAACATGCTGTAAGATTCCGTTGTTTGTCTTATATTACTAGAATGATAGCGATGAGAATCTGATGCATACTACAAACTTCAAAAATGACAATCTGCACACATCTTGTTTATTGACTGCTGTGCACCTACATCCATAATCAACATTCTGAGCATGCATGATATAATTTTTTTTCTGATTGTGTTTCTGTGTAAATACATTTAAGTGACCTTTGTGCGACATTAAGAAGTATGTGGAAATAATAATAAATAATGGAAGAAGTATATGGAAATAATACTTAATATTATTAGTGCAAAAAATAGAATAAATAATAATACATAAAAGTATGTATTTATGTATATATGTGTGTGCGTGTATTTATAAAATTAAATATAATATAAAATAAATACAATATGGTATAATATACCTATGCATAAAGTTGTAAGTAACAACAACAACAACAATACTAATACTACTACTAATAATAGCAATAATGCCATTATTAAAATGTAAATAATATCAGTATATTTTAATGAATTATTCTAATAATAATCTCAAAAATAGTAACAATAATAATAATAATTATTATTATTATTCCTATGCATCAATTAATAAACAAAGAATATTATAAAAAATAAAATGTGAAATAATAAATAAAACTATCTGAATGTATAATTGCACATCACAATTAAAAATAATTAACAAATAATAATAGAAGCATATTATTAACAAATAATAATAAATATGGTATAATATACCTCCGCACAAAGTCGTGAGTGATCTTAATGTTGAAATTAGTGATGTCATACACTGGTGACGATGATTTCAGTAATTTTCATCACCAGAATTGTGAAAGCACCAATATTGCCTCCAATATTATTACTAATCATGACATCACCATTATGTTAATTCATGATTACCTTATGCTTTTCTTTGACGGCATATAAAATAAAATGATAAACTAAACACATCATCACAGCATAATCATCAGCATGATCTTTATTGTGGATACATACCTGGTTTGGACATTTCTGCAACTGATCCGTTGTAGACCTGGTTCTTAAACTCGGGTCTGTTGTCATTCATGTCAATGACATAAATGTACAGATCAATAGGAGGCTCCATTTGGTTCCCGTTAACATCCACTGCATGAGCTCTGAGCTGTGGATGAGATGACAATAAAGGCACATTAATTAACAATTCATAATTCACACATAACTTCACCTCTGCCGATGCTTCAGTGGAAAGCACAGCGCTGATATTAAATCAGCTTTAAGAAACTCAGAGGCTTTAAAGATCTCTGTGTGCACCAAATGGAAATTGCATTCATATTTCACACGTTAGATACGGTATCCGGTGGGAAGGCATTGCGTTGTTCCTATCTAAAATCCATGAGTTATTATTCAGAGAGGACTTCCAGAGGAACAGAGTGTGAGTTGGAAAAGGCTATTTTGGTTAGATCTCCAAAAAAACATGTGAGGCAAGATAAAGCTTTTTTTTTAATTCAGATAAACATCCCCTTAAAAACAAAATAGTTTTTTTAGTGATAGAACAATCCCATGGGAGATGGGGAAGGGAGGGGGGAACGAGAAACAAAAGAGCAAGAGATAGCGCAAGAAAAAGACCGAGAGCGAAAAAGAGAGGGACAGAGGAAAGGTTTAAGGCTGGATTAACTCCAAATTCTCTTCTTTGAATTTATTCACTACAGAATACATGTGCACGCACTAAATAAAACTATTATCCTAAAATCCCTCCCCGGAATTACATCCCAAATAAGAGGGTTGCATTGCTCCATACGCTATACACGGGAATATCCAGATTCTATATGCATTTCTGTGGTAATACAACACCTGCCACCAAAAGCTCTCATTTAATATCGCCCGAGATGACAGGTTTTTGTTGTGCAGGGCAAAACTAACTGTCAAGCAAACAAATAAATAAAGACGCACAACAGGAAAATCTGTTTCCTCAGCTGCTGTGCTTAGCATTCTGTATGGGTTGGTGAGGTGGCTGTGTGTGTGTGTGTGAGCTTGTAGATATGTGTGAGATTGTCTGTTGTTAGTGGCTGAGACACTGCATCTTTGATCTGTCGACCCATGAGAGCGTGCAGACTGCAAATGTGTGGCTTAATGGCATTATTAACATGCTAGCTGACAGAACCGAAACGCTAGACAGAGACAGAGCGACACAGAGAGAGAGATGGGCTGAGAAACAGAGAATCCTCCTCTAGGTCTTTATCCCTTTGTTTATTTTCTTCTCTTGCCACTGTGTCAAAGCCATCAGCTTTTAAATTCTGCAACACACTCTAGTGGTGGGAGACTTGTGGGCAGTGAAGAAAAACTACTGGAAACTCACAAAATGAGGGAAAGCTACAAACCACAGAAAGAGCTAGAGGGTTCAGTGTCATGCCTGCAGCAAATTCGCCATGGCCATTGTTAGAACAGGGCAGTTTTTTTTTCTAATGTACCCCCACAGCACCTCTTCATCATTATCGTTAATATTATCAAAGCGGTCATTAGACTCACTTTTAAACAAAACACAATCAATACTGTGAGTGAAAACAACTTTCCTTGCTTAAATGAGACACCTGAGTTTGTTATTTACAGGTTTTAACAGTTCTGGGCAAATCATGGAGAAACTATGAGAAGGACTTAAAAGTGAATTTATTCATAATGCAGTCATATTTTTGTTGTGTAGGTTTAACAAACACAAATCTAAATTCCAAGCTCATCAAAAATCCAAGAGCTGCAGTGGTTTATGTCAACATGAACTGCATTTACTATCTATTTTACTTCCATAATGTTTAAAGAGACTGAATTGTTGGAGATCTGACCCTGCACATTCCTGCCACTTTTCCACAATCCTGTCAAATAAAGGCAACAAAGCCAACACATAAAAAGAAAGAAAGCCACGCTTTGGCTACTTTTTGTGACAGTATAGAGAGTTAAATTGTTTAAAAAAGTCTATTTCAAGTTCTAATTCATCTTTGACATCACATGAATAAATTACATTTTAAAATATATTAAAATAGAGAACAGTGCTTTTAAATTGGAATAATATTTCACAATAGTACTGTTTTTCTTGATTATATAAATGCAGCCTTGGTGAGCACAATAGACTTTATAAAATCGGTAACATTTTAGTATAGGGACCAGTTCTCACTTCTCCGCACCAGTTCTCATTAAATCTAGTTAATTTCAAGTTCATGTTGACTTAAAGCTCAGCTTGTTGGTTTGGTTCCTGTGATGAGGGAGTCATCACTATTGTTAAACACAATTGTTGTTAATTATGAGCCATCACCATTGTTAACCTCAGGCTGCTCCAGAGGGATTGTCCTTGTAATAAATTCATGACTACGTTCAATTGCAGCACTGGAGACACCAATTCCGGCCCTTGTGATGTGCTGATAAAAAAGCATTGTATTCTACTCAAGAAGGCTCTAACTGAATCAAACTCCTCATACATTACATCAAAAGCCTCGAGTGTAAAACTGGGACATCTAGAGCATCCGGAGTTAAGATAGTGGATATTCACACTATGGTGAGTAACAGAGGGGCTGCATAAGCTAACCACTGCACAAGACCCGAGGGGCCACTTAACCTTAACAGTGTTCATACGCCTATCGTCCTGACTCACTGACTGCAGGCAGTGTCTAACTCATTGTAAACATGCACTTACACACATACACAAATCATACACATGAGCTCTGTTGCCTATTGAAATCTACCGAGTTGTCTCACTGCCTACATTTTTCTTATTTTTTTTATGTAAAAAAACAAGATACAAATAAAAAACATACACATCAATCAATCAATCAATCAATCAATCAATCAATCAATCAATCAATCAATCAATCAAATCACAGGGCTTATTTTAGATAATCATAATTTTTAAACTAATTCTATGTATTAACATATATGTAATTATAAATTATGCAGAATTACTACTACTACTATTATTATTATTATTATTATTAATAATAATACTACTACTAATAATAATAATAATAACAACAACAACAACAACAATACACACAAATACACACACAAAGACAGACACACTATCAGTAAAATGTTTGGAATTTATTATTATTTTTTAATGTGTTGGAAGAAGTTTCTTAAAAACACCAAAGCTGCATTTATTTGATAAAAATACAGTAAAAACTGTAATGATGTTTTCTATATTAAAATATTTTTTATATTATATATTTGTGGAAACCATGATACATTACCATTAAAAGTGTATTTTTATTAATGAAAGATACATTCAATTAATCAAAACTGCCAATAATGAATTTATAATGATCTAAAGATTAAGTAAACTGTTCTTTTGAAGTTTATATTCATCAAAAAATGCTGATAAAATATATCAGAAAAATAAAAATCAGCAAAAACTGTTTTCAACATTGATAATAATAACCATGATTAATAATTGACCACCAATAATAATTCATAATAATTGAACACTAAATCAGCATACTAGAATGATTTCTGAAGGATCATGTGACACTGAAGACTGCATAGTTTTTGACCGGTAGCATGTATTACATAGAAATTATATATTTATTTACATATATTTTTTTCACTAAGCTTGTTGCAATGCATTCTGGGATTGCGTTCTCCGTAGACGATTTATGCAGTGTCACCTTTGATTCTGACCCGAATTAGGTATCTTAAGCGACAGCATAATTAAGTTACCTACCTTTTGGGACAGCCTATAGTACAATGCCTCCATAGGCAGCTCACTAAGTTTAGAAAATGTATGCGCTCACATACACACACATCGAGCTAACTTAACCACCGTGGGTGCTGACTTATTCAGATATGCAGACACACACACACACACACCTGGTGAGACAAGCCTAGCCGTAATTTAGACTGATAGGTAGACACAAAGTGCCACATCATCTACTGCTCAATGGACCGGAGTGTTAAGAGAAACAAGACGGAGTGAGAGAGAAAAAGAGCCATAAGTCAAAAGTAGAAGCCGCAAACAGAGAAGACCTCGTTTTATAGCTGATCTAAATATATACTAAGGGCCTATTGACACTTCCTGCGAAAGAGCTGAGATAAAGTGGCAGTTACAATTGTAAGGAACAACCGTGAGAATCAAAAGCAATGTATTGTGTTAGGAGTGCCTGAGTGAATGACAGTCTGGGGAAGATGTGGCTTGCTGGCAGTCCACTTGTGACAGAGGTGGGGTGACAGGCAGAAACATAAGGGGGCAGGGTCGCTGTTTGATTTGAGTTAAAGCATTGGGAGTTGCATACTCATCACTTGTGACAATTCAACACGTCTTTTCCAGACTATTTCCTTCCCTTTCTCTCCCTCTCTCATCTGCACGTTGCTACTGAACCTTCATCTAATTGACAGTTTGACTAACTGAAAAAAACCCTGACGTGTCAAAGCAATTCTTTTCTTTGTCTCTAGCTTTTCTTCTTCACATTATTCATAAGGAAAAGAGCTACATAAACAGAATAGCGGAACAAAAACAAAATAAAAAAAGCACACTTAACAAGTGATGCCAGCCGGCAAGTCCGAAACGTTTTGTTTTTAATGCATTGAAAGCAGTTTGAATAGACTTAATTGCACAATGAAGTATGAATCTTAAGATTTCTGCAAACTTTGCTTAACAAGCAGTAGGTTGACTAAGTCTGTAGCTTTGTCTTCGATATCTAAAAAGGCTGACAAGGCAACTGCACTTGTTTTGATGGCTAGAACTTTCTGGAACCAATCAGGTTCGCAAACAAGTCAGATCTCGAAGTTTGTAGGCCTTTGAGTCCTGGTTAAAAGTTACCCTGAACAGCCAGATAAAGAGATATTAATATTCATTCAAAATTGGAGTTTATATATAAATTTAAGACACTTAAGCCAAAATGTATTTGAGTGTCAAAACCAAAGCTATTTATTTTAATCATCTATATAGCACAAGCACACATTTAAATCAAAACATTTCACAAATTGACATTTGTTAGGTTTCCAAATATTATGAAATATATAGTTCAAAATGAAGGCAAAAGGTATTTGGACACTCTCTGGTTGTACTAATTTAAGGAACACCAATTTTGTTTGGACAACTGTGAACTTTAAAGGAAGTTACTTCATACATGCATGAAAAATGACCTTGAGACCATCTGGTGTCTCAGAAAATTTGGTTAGTTTTTTTTTTTTGCATAGGTTTAATATTTTGTGATTCAATGAAATTCAGCCACC